GTCGTCCGGGTAGCTGGTGGTGCTTGCTAGCAGCTGGAACAGTCTAGTATGGTCCTCAAGAGCTTTGTCCCCCTGCTCCAGCAGGAGGAGGATGTATTCGCGGCTAAGAAGGGCATCCATCCAGGGAACACAACAGAAAAAAAAGATACTGGGAAAAACAAGAAAACAAACGGAGGGGAAAACACAGAGGTAACTGTTTTTGGGTCAGGTCTTCTGTCACGCTACGCTGTTGAGGGAACACGTTGGAGTCACGAGGAAACGTTTAACAGTCTTTAATCAAGAAACAGGAGATAATCCACAATGGGAGCTTGAGGTGGCGGTATGTGCTCATGGCACCAGTCGGCTATTAGATCGAAGAAGAAGAACAACGTCATAACGACAGCTCAAACCAACGTGGTTTAAACGATGGATCTGCGACACAGGTACCATGGTTTCGGGAACAGTCGTGACTAGCTAGTTCGTTTCCACAACAATGCATCGTACTATGGTGGTTAATCAGCGAGTTACGTAGTTGTACGGGAAACGCACCCCAGACTAGGACTTTTAAACACAGGGCAATCAGGGGAACACAGGTGACATCAATGGAACATAATCAAACTAAACGAGGAGAGGAACTTGACCAAATAAGGCAAAACAGGAACTGAAACACATGACAAAACAGGTCCAATCCTGACAATTATATTGTATTATCTTTATAATATACTTTATAAATTATTATTATTTAAAATTATTGTCCCTGAATCAGTAGGATACTCTTGTAATAAAGTAGTGGTGAGACAGAGACCAGGGAGGTGACGAAGGAGGGAGGAGCCAGGGAGGAAACAGGAGGGGCCCGGAGCAGGAGGAGCCAAGCAGGACCCAGGCCACGGCCATGATGGTGACCCACGGTGGAGCCGACAGAGGGAGGAGCCATGGCGGAGGAATGGCCGCCGCCGGAGCAGGTGGTGGAGGAACCCGAGGCGGAAATGGAGAGCCAACAAGCCAGGGGGATGCCGAGGATCCAGGCGGCCAGGGTGGAGCCGAGGGCTCTGGCGACCGAGGCGGAGGTGCAGATCCGGAGATCCGGAGCGACTGAGGACAAAGGTGGAGCTGATGGCTGGGACAGATTTTAAGTATCAATTCTGCTTAAAAAGATGCAATCTAATCCTGTTTACCAGAAATAAACCTGTTCCCGAGCAGGTTTAAGTTTACGGACCTGTTGCTATGACAGCAACTTCGGGATGAGCTTCGAAGAACCAACCAATCCAGCTAACTGAGTTAGCGACGTACGAAGAATGGGCCCCTGGTCTTGAAATATTAAATTAATTAACCACAATTCAGTTTGTGATTCCAGAAGTTTGAAGAGTCACATTTTTTTATTTAATATTTTCTATTTAATTTTCTATTTAATTTAATTAATATTTTCTTTTAAGTTATCTTGCATCCTACTTGGGAATTGGCTGAGGCCCCCTAGTGGGTCCAAGCCCTCTGTGTATTTTTATTATTTTTTTTTTTTTTCCAAGTTTTCTGTGTAAGAACCACTGACTTAGCGGTTAAAAACTTTGACAATCTTTCAATTTCAATCTTTCAATCTCCTATATGCCACAAATGCTGTATAATTCCAATCCTGCTTGCTTTTTTTTTCTTCTCATTTGTACTTTTCCCTCAAACCTTTGGTTTTGTCTGTATGCCTGACCCTATAGACTGTCTAAGCAGTTCGCTGCTCGCTTACGCTCTACTTCAGTTTGAGGAATGAGAGGGCAGAGGCCAGCTGTCCCCCCTCAAGGAGCTGGCCTGCTTGTTGCGTCTTTCACTCCTGTTCTGTAAGTCTCTCCTTTCCTGAGGTAAAAATAGCTAACGATGCAAACAGATGCACCAGCCGCTGTCCATCCACACACACTCACGTACATCCATTGAATGACAGAATCTTCTAGAAGAATAAGCGAAAAAATGCAGCACTTACAACATGAGCTCACAGTCAGCAACAATAAAAGCAGGACATGTCCCTGATTAGAGACATCGTCCCTCACTGAGTTGTTAGGCAGGCTATCAACTCCTTAAGCAGGTCAAAAGACATGTGGGCCACCACAAAAATAGTCAACTAAATACAGGGTGAGAACCAGGCTTGCAAAAACGTCCATCAAAAATTGTACAAAAAACATCACTGTAACAATTCAACAAACCAGCCCAATGGATGAGACCAAAAGTGTGGATGGGGAAGTTCACAAAATATCTATTACAGTGCAATCACATTTACCATTATTTAATTTTCCCTGGCGAAATCCAGTCATTTAAATAGGAATCTACAAGATCGGAAATTTCTTTGGAGATTTCCCTGTGCAGATTTTCCAAAGGGTTCAAGATGTTCACGCAAATTTCAGAAAACTGCTTTGTTTGAAAGTATGTTCATACATCGCTACAAAATTGAAATTTTTTGTATTTTTGCCTGTGAAATTTCACTAATGTTACCGTGGTTTAAGCGCCTGACAAATAAATGAGCGTGCATTCTTAAAAACAAACAAACAGATCACCAATCACATGCAGGGACATTTCTAACACTTTAACAACATTAATGATGTAACCAAATGTTCAAGATTGAGGGGGACCAGATAAAAAAGTTTAAGAATCTTGCATTTTACTACTTAACCACTAGTCTAAATATTGAAAGGGAAACATGAGCACCCCCCTCAATGTCTATGTTGGCCCTGTATACACAAAAATACCCATAATGCACAGGCAAAAACTAGCTAAAACTCTTACGTTGAGATATAACTTTGAGACTCCCCCCCAAAAAAGCATTATTATAAGTATTATTATGAAATCAAAATAGGTCAAGAAGGCATTACTTACCGTCCGTAGGAACTGTATCTCTTCATCTCCCCCCTCTCCCTCTGCCATCCTTCTCCGAGGGTTATTTGCAGCTCCTCAGGAGAAATCAGAAAATCCTTCCGTTTTCTCTTCAGTGTGTTTCAGTGTATTCTCTCTCTCTTTCTCAGTGTGTGTGTGTGGGTGTGCTGGAGGACAGTATGAGTCCTGTAGCTCTCACGATGGAGTGAGAGAGAGTGACAGAAGATTCAGCGCTGCTCCTGTCTCTCTCTCTCTCTCTCTCTCTCTTTCTCTCTCTCTCTCCCTCAGCTTCCTTGCTCTCAGATCCTGTGGATGGTGCTCTACCTTCTTACACATTCACACCGCAACCATATTTGCACAACTGGGCCACCCCCTTTGCCTAAAACTGATCCTCCCACAGGTCTAATGAGCTATAAATGGAAAATGTGCTTGTGTGTGATGATGTCTGGCAGAAGACACTAAGACACACACGCGCATACTAGCCATATGAGAAGCTTGAATTACATCAGAATGAATCAAATAATGACATTTGTTTAGTTTGCAGAACCTTTGATATTTTTTGACAATATTTGTGCAAAACACACAGTAAACAGCTTGAACACAGTGGAGCCCTAATGTGAGCTGAACACAGCCAGATATATTGGATACTTATGTGTGCTCAGCACGCGTTGTGACTGAAACAGAATACAGACAGCGAATTAACAGCTAGACTGAATTAAATTTATTTCAGACACTGCATTTGAATATGAATGTTCTGTTAATATATATAAATATATATATATATATATATATATATATATATATGTTCTGCATTTATTTATATAACAGCAATTACATTTAAATCTATTAATAATATATACATATAGTTTAATAAATATAATATACATTTTATACAATTATATAAAATGTATAAATAGTATATAATTGTATAAAAATAATTCATAATAAAATAAAATTTATGGAAAAAAATAATTGGGAACAATTAGGATACAAATGATTAGAACACAAAAGGCAATGTGCAGGATGAGGCCATTTTTTCAAAATGTGGGTGCTTGAGAAGTAAAATTCCTTTTTGGTATAATGCTGAAGCATTACTTTTATCTGCTTAACCTTCATTTGGAAATACAAGAGTGGTATAAATTATGAAATTACATTAAATTATACTATATACTGTATAAACATCACATTTAAATTATGAGACTCTGGAACAGGAATGTAAGTGATAAAAGTAAAATCAACACAACAGTCTAACAGGGAACTGAGTCAGCAGGCTAATTAAACAAAACAATCAATTAGATACAGTGGGTACGGAAAGTATTCAGACCCCCTTACGAATGGCAGAGGATCCCCAAATCCAGGTGTGAAAAACTTGTTGCATCTTTCCCAAAAGGACTCATGGCTGTATTAGATCAAAAGGGTGCTTCTACTAAATACTGAGCAAAGGGTCTGAATACTTAGGACCATGTGATATTTCAGTTTTTCTTTTTTAATAAATCTGCAAAAATGTCAACGATTCTGTGTTTTTCTGTCAATATGGGGTGCTGTGTGTACATTAATGAGGAAAAAAAATTAACTTAAATGATTTTAGCAAATGGCTGCAATATAACAAAGAGTGAAAAATTTAAGGGGGTCTGAATACTTTCCGTACCCACTGTAGATAAATAGATAGATAGGTAGATAGATAGATGTGCAGCAGAAGTACAGATGGATAGACAGACAAGGTATGTATATTTTCAATCATATATTTTCCTGTTCTGCATCCACAGACACACACAGAGACCACCAGTCGGCTAGACAGTCTGACAACTGCATAAGCAACACACCCCTAAAATTACTCTAGGAAAATACAGCCAACGTGCTGCACCCAACCACACACACACACCCTCTCAAACAGGCCACAAACACATACAAAGATGACAGCTGGCATCACTCCTCACCTCCAAAATCTCCATCTAAGTGTCATCTCTGAGCGTGTCCCTCCGCTCTCCTATGTCCACCTGCAACTACATCTGAGTATGGAGTAAGAAGGATGCTGATGGATTTTTGGGGGGTCTTCTTGGCAGCCGAGGGCTAAACTTCAGAGAGCATGCTCAGACAGCACGTAATGAAGACTGGGAAGCCGAGTGCATTCGCTCAGGTTTGCTGCGCACTACACTGTAGTCGTGTGAAGTGACCGATAGATGGCGTCGTAGCATCTCACAAACTCACTACGGAAATAACATTGAAGCTAGAACTATTTGCAGTATCAAATATAGGCCTATTTAAATGTGAGATAATGTATTAGGTTACTATAGCGAGTAACACTAACTTAAACTACCATTTAATAAACCATTGCCCGATATATTCTGTAGTCGACTTGCCAGCTTCATGACGTGTTTTTAAAAGAAAAGCGGGAAAATCAATCTATCTATCTATTTTTGACTGGTCGCCATTTATTTATTTAAGTGTTTCACCATTTTAATCACCTTGTAGCTGTTTTTCCTCATCACTTGAACAGTTCTAATCAGTTGCATTAGTGTATTATATTTAAAATGGGATATAATATAATACATTATGAGAGCTCTTTAAAACTGAATAAATTATATAAATATTTACAAGAATGTTTGCCAAGTTACTACAGATTTTGCCATAGAAATAACCATCGTAACAATGGTATTTTGGTGGAAACGATGGTTACCATATGGTCATTTTGTGTTCTGAATGACCTAACAGATGAAGCAATCAACAGCCTGTTTAGGCTTGATAGAACCAGTTTCTAGTTAAAGTCATTGAGTAAACTGAAGGGACAATTCAGTTTAATTTCTATTAACACCGTAGTAATTTTAAACACTAAAAAAGGCAGATGATGTGTGCTGATGTGGTTTCGTCAGTTATGCAATCACAACTGCAGAATTTGCAGCAGGAAATTTACTGAAGATGACATGGTCGAGCAAGAAGAAAAATATTTACAGGAGAATACAAGTCTAGCTTCGCCTGTTACTGACAAAAACACCATCTTCTCTCAGAAATAACTCTGTACAATAAGTTCTTCTTGCTATGTGAAAGTTTTAGATTAGCTTAACCATTTTGAGGAAGTAAACAAAGGTGGAGTGATGAGCAAGGGCCCTTTTGCAAGTTCATTTGTGGTGGAAAAAAATGTCAGAAAAAACACAACAGCAACTGCAACAAACCAGACATATCTGTGTCTCCTTTAATACAGAACAGGCGGCCCACATTTCACAGAATTGATATTCTAGGTGTCATTCTGAAAGATGGCAGTTGATTCATTCACACCCATCCATCAACCGACAGAAGCCCCCCTCGTCTGGGCTTGTATGAGAATCCCACCTCTGTGTGAAAACACACACACACACACACACACACACACACACAGTCACAGGTTCCCACAGAGTTTGCATGCAGACACACGCACAAACACACATGCAGCAGTCTTTCCTATCATCTCCCCTCTCCTCCATCCTCAACAAGGCATCCTTTCAGTGTCCCGCTCCAGCTGCACGTGGAGGGATTCAACCCTGGAGACACTACCTTACTGTTAAAGAGAGAAAAAAAAAGGGATGAAGACTACTAAAAACAGACCCAAGGCTAACAAATGAACAGATACAGCAGGTACAGACACACAGCTATTACTTATGACACCTTGTACGCAGAAATTCATGGAAAACACAAACGAAGGCTCACTCATTTACCTATAGCCTAAAGGCAAGGAACTGGTACAGACTAAAACAAAGCTGAAATATGTGTAAAAACACACATGTGGGAAGCTAATGAGAACAAACTTTGGTCTTTTGGGACTGATTTCTCATTGCGATGTCTGTTTGGACACTGTCAGTTTTCAATCGGCCTTTCAATGATTTTTAATTCGTATTACGTACTCTCACACT